GAATAGAGCAAAACCAGAACCCCATGCATTGAGAATTATGTAACACAGCCGCCTGGGCCGCAAATTTGCAAGTCAAGTCTGGGGATGTCACTGTTTGGATAGACAGGCGGGACAGCTGAGCAAAGCCGCCGCCGCCGTCGTTGAACTTAATCTGCGAGCATGATTGTGCAATATTTGTAGAGTGGCTGACGACGACGAGTGCGCGCGTTGTCCTGGCAAGGTTGTTATGGACGCACCAATGTTTGTTTGTGCCTGTAAACATGCCGGCCGATACACCACACACACAAAAAAAAAAAAAGAGCACCCCCCAATCCGAGCGTCAGCAGCTCCATTTCAGTTGCAGCAACGGCAGACAATGATCTCGAGACGCGACAAATTGCTGCAGCAGCCCTGGGAGCAGCTGCGTTATGTACAACATCGCGAGAAAGTGATGTCCGCACGTCCAGCGATTGATACCAAGTCGCCGCGCCAGCACGATCATGTGCAGCGCAAGTGGAAGAAGCAGCAGAACGAACGGGAGCGCCAGCAGCAAATCGAACGTGAAAATCTGCGTCTGCTGCAGAAGCTGGGCGACATCATGAGCAGCAAGCGCATGAATAACCTGTGGCTGGAACCAAGACCCAAGTATACAAAAAGAAGAAAAAAGCCAAAACAAATCTTTTTTACTAACAGTTTCCATAACTTGCCATAGTTTTCTCAATCGGGAGAAGCTGTTTCCGACACGCCCTTACTCCAGCCTGCCACAGATTGTCACCATTTACGGCGTGCAGCCTCCTGGTCCCTTGCTCTGTGGCATGCTGCCCAAGCCGTCCGTTGTAAGCCGCTGTCCCACGTGCAGTGGCAATCCGGAGCGCACTGAGGTGGCCATACCGGAGCAACGCCTGCCTTGGGCGATGCCGCGCGAATCCTCGAGCCGCAAGCAACAGAAGCAGCAACAGCGCTGCTATCACTGCGGTGGCGTCAAGAGCATGGAGCGCAAACTCTTCGAGGATTATTCTTTTGACTATGAATAACAATTCAGCAGGCAAATAAAAAGAACTACAATTTTATTAAACAAACGACATTTAAACTTTGGGTATGTTGGGCGGCAGGGTGGCAAAGGTGAGAAACCCCGTATGACCGGGCAGCACTTGAGGATTACTGGAGGTTAAATACTTTTTCAGCTCCTTGGGTTCCTTTGATTTGATGTCGTCATTTGAATTTCTCTCTGTGCTTTTAGGTGCTTTGAGAAACTCCAAATCGATGACTGGTAATGAACGGGTTTTGATCACACTCTCCTGCTGCAGCACCTCCATGGAGCATATCTCATTGAAGCCCAGCTTGGTGAGCACACTTATACAGCGCTGCGACTGTTCTATGCACGGCGAGAACGAACAAAAGCGACCGCCTGAAAATATGATAAAAGATATATATGCTTTATGAAGCATTAAACCAGATAGAAGATTCATTCCAAGTTTTAAAGCTATCCTAATGAAACCTAACATAGATTCGTATTCTTGTTACAGGCAGTGCATATATCTCAAATCTGCAACTTTTCTTCAAAATTATTTAATCTTCGACACCCCGAAGATAAAAATTATTTCTGTGTTTAATAGCAGACAGGAATGTAAGGCTTTTTCTGCACTCGGAGATAAAAAACCCATTACGAAAACTTATTTTTCCGATTTTTTCTATAACACATGATATTCATGACATACAGATATGAATCACATACAAGGAGCATATTGTGAATGATAAATAAGGCTTTTGGTCCAGTTATCTTATAAAAAAGTTGTTCATACAAGAACGACAGGTCGTTCTTATGAAAGCCTTTATGATATAGCGCTCCAATCCGAAAGGTTCCGACATATATACTATCTACAACAGAAAGAGGACCTTTGCAAAGTTTCATGACGAAAGCTTTAATATTGAAAGACTAGTGGACATAGAAACAGATAAAAGGACATAGTTAAATCCACTGGACTCTTGACAACAAGAATATGCACTTAATGGATTCGGAGACGTATTCTTCTACGCTTTACACATTTAAATTCTTTATTAAGAATTTATTAATTTAAATTATAAGTTCTACTAGTTATAAAACACTTTATTTTAATCTCTAGCAAATTTAAGTATTGCTTGAAATACATGTATATAATGCATCCGGATGCATTTATCATATTATACCACTTACTATAGTTTCAATGCATCGATATACCCATACGATACCAACATTCCTATAGCAATCACAGCCGGAATGGTGCAGCGCGTAGTTGGTTTCACTAATGAGTGACAAAGCTGCCCAACGGGCTGCCTGACCACGTCAACTGCCAAAAGCGGGCGCATTCAATGTCAAACACAATGAAATGGCCAAGACAGACAGACAGACAGAGAGAGAGAGAGAGAGGGAGACGGATACAGTGAGGGAGACAACCAAGCCAAGTCTTGATTGCTGCTGCCGCTGTCGGCTGCCGCGCAAAAGGGCGCTGACAACTTGTTGTCAAGCGCTGACTGGGCAGTCGCGTTTCACTTACCCGACAACTTCAACGCCTTGAATGCATGTGGCACCGCCAAATCCGGCGCGGGTAGATCCAAAAACACCGCATCAGCCGCACCATCCAGTTCGCTGGTGAAGCCCAAATTGCACACATCTCTGTGATAGACCGTTACAAAGTCGCCGAGTCCGTGTCGCTTGAACTCGTCGCGCGCCTGATCCGCTCGCGCCTCATGAAAGTCGAATGTGTGCAGGCGGCCCGTGGGCTTTAGAGCGCGCAGAAAATAGTGCGACAAGGACCCGGAGCCGGTGCCGGACTCAACAATCACTGCGCCGGGGCGTACCTCCAGCTGATGCAGTATCATGCTTATGTCCGGCGTGTATATAATTTGTGTGCGATGTGGCAGCGTCTGCGTCCACAGCTCCGGATTTGGCTGCAACACGTGCGCCCAGCCTTTGGACAGCTCCACGCGACTTCCATACTCCACGCCAATAATACCTGTCCGCGATACACATAGAGATTAGTTATAACACTTAGTTGTTATTGTATTAAAAATCACTTACTTTGTACTTTAAGTGAACCGTAGGGCGTCTGAAAGATGTGCGTTATGGTTTCGCCTTTTTTGTTTACTATCGTCGGCACCGCTTCGATGGCATGCATAGAATTCACGCTCAGATAGAGAATGACAATGTCGCCTTGCTCTATGTGTGTTTTGGGCTTAAGGAAACTCATTGTTATGGTCGTTATTGCCGGTTATGATCTAGGAAACGGCGAGAGGAATGCAGAAGCGTGGACCAAGTATGACCGCGAACGGCAATATTAATACTAAATGGTGTGACCAAAGTAACTTATAGAAAACATACTCAAGGAATGTTAATACTTCATCCAAACTAAGTAAAATGGTCCAATTTACAATTTTTAGAGTAATATATAAAAAATCATGCACTGCTTTGCTTAATTAATAATAATTTAAAAATGTCGCATAAACAAATAGGCTTATATGCACACCAGTTGCAACAAAAGTGTTACCAGATTTTCAAAAAATTTGCAAAAAATACTAAACTCTTTCTGTTGACACTTATCAACACCTTTTTTGCATGCCAAGCAGCCCACTTCACGTTGATTTGCTTCTTCTTTCCCTCTTTTGGTTTTTTACTACAAGTATGTAAAGCTTGCTTTTTGTGAATTTGTCAAATAATCTGTGAACATCCGCCAAACAGCTAATAAATTTTTGCTAATTGCAATACACAATGTTTGACAAATATTCGTTCTATTACGTTACAACTGACTTATATAAATTGCATTGTTTTTTCCCCCTTTTTTATGCTCGTTTAACCGGAACTTCCTTATTGTGCTGAATTATTTGAATCCCAATTGAAATTGAAGCAGCCGCAAAATGGTCCAGCGCTTGACTTTGAGGAGACGCCTGTCGTACAACACCAGATCCAACAAGAGGCGCATGTAAGTGTCTAAAGCGTATAATTTTGTTGTTGTAATCTAATAAGACGCTTGTTTACAGTGTGCGCACTCCCGGTGGCCGTCTGGTATACCAATACGTGAAGAAGAACAAGACTGTGCCACGCTGCGGCCAGTGCAAAGAAAAGCTTAAGGGCATTACCCCATCGCGCCCAAGCGAGCGTCCACGCCTTTCTAAGCGCCACAAGACCGTATCCCGCACATACGGCGGTGTCTTGTGCCACGGCTGCCTGCGTGAGCGTATTGTGCGTGCCTTCCTCATCGAGGAGCAGAAGATTGTCAAGGCGCTGAAGAGCCAGCGCGAGGCGCTCGTCAAGCCCGTCAAGAAGGTGGAGAAGAAGCCCACCAAAGCGGCGGCCACCAAGAAGCCCGCTGGCAAGACCGGTGGCAAATCAGCTGTCAAAACTGCATCCAAGAAGCCCGCACCCAAGGGCGTTGTCAAGTCCAAGAAGTAAATATGTGTAGGATATTCATTGACTTAAGAATTGGACGTGGAAGCATTTTGTAATAAAGAAAATACAAGTTGGAAAAATTTTAAATTTTTGTTGGTAATTTGTGGTTGGGTGAGGGTTCATGTCTATGCTAAATAAACAGCTGAGCGGCTTGGTTAGTTTTTAAGCATTGCCATTCACAGTTTTGACGGACAGCATGTGGAACTGCTGCTGCTGTTTTATGTATTAAAAATTTACGATGCCACAGCAAGCGACTGTCAGTAAACCGAATGAATCGTACGTATATATTAAATAACTTCTTTTTATAGTTAACATGTTTTCACAGCATTATAAATTTACAGCACAATAAAAGTGCCATTTGATACGAAAGAGCATGCTAAGATAGCATATCGCGTGTTGAATGTGGATCAGGAGCCACGCAGAAACTTTGTGCAAAAAACGCTGAGCCTGGAGGACGATGTGCTAGTGGTGCACTTTAGTGCCGACCAAGTGAAAAATCTACGCACCGCCATAACCTCGTTCTTTGAGTGCCTGCTACTCTGCCAGGATACCATCAAGTTGTTTGGCGGAGAACAGTCCGAAACGCATCAAAAAAACAATGCCAGAACACAGTCCAGCGCCCACACCGCATAGAGCTATTTACGGTTTTGCATTTTACATACTGTTCACCGTACTATTTTTTGTTTATGTGGCGTGGGCTTTTTTGCCCGTGGAGCTGGGCCTGCATTCGTATCTACCGGACAAGTATTTTGCCGTGTTTGTGCCGGTGCTAATTCTGGTGTGTGCCTTTTTTGCCGTCATAATTTATCCGGCAATTAATCTTTCACTGACGCCTAATATTGATTCAATTGCGTCGGTTGTCGATCTTAGGCTAGTACTACCTAAGGGCTCACAGTTCACATCTTGGTCACAACTGCAATGTCAACGCTCCGAGACGACGCCCCATCGGAAAGTATTACCGGCAATCCAGTGTAATCTGTGCGAAACGGAGCACATGGCAAAGACTCGCTCGCCCATACCACCACTTAGATTTCTAGACTTGCAAGAAGTAAACGCCACATATTATAACTAACAAATCGACTTTTAATGTAAATTCCCTATATTTACTTTCGACGCACTGTCGTCCACCCGTCTTCTGGCTCCACAAACGATTCCGTTTGCTGTTTGCGCGTCTGGGAACGTGTTACACGGCCGCTGCTTGTTGCGGCCGCTTCCTCGTCGCTCTCAGCAGCATTCATGGCATCGTCAGCATCCTCTTCATCGTCGTCCATGTCCTCATCGGATGATGAGTCCCCTTCTATGGGAGTGTATGTGATTTTAACATCGGGACGGAGCCAATCCTTGCCCTGCGGCAATTTGCTGAGTTCTGTTTCAATCTGTGGGTACTGGGAGGCCAGCGCCATTTGCTTGTAACGCAGCAGATTGCGGCATATTTCTGGTATGGAGTGGTCGTCACACAGCGTATTAAATTCCTGATCCATCAGCTCTTCAATCACCTCCTGCAGCTCACCCTGCGTTATATTCTCGTTGCCCACGCAGTACTCATATGAGTAGTCCATGATTTGTATGGCCACCTGCGGCATTGTTAGGTTAGAAATTGTGTGAGAATAGACTGCGATGTGCTCCTACCTGCTGGCCGTTGCGTCCGCCCATCCCATGCTCGACGGCCAAGCGAAGATTTTGCCAATTGTTAAAGATTCTTTCAACAATTAAGCGAAAGTTCTTTTGGAATTCGGTTTGTGTCGTCGTCGCTGCCATCGCGTGCATTGTCAGTGTTGTGCAATTGTTAAAAATCCCTTGACATTCACATGTAAATATACACGCCGACAGCTGTGCCTTTTGTTTACATGCCAACGCGCCATAAATTGCAAACCAGAAATTATGTCCGACAGCGAAAATCTGGAGCAAGCTTTAAATGAGCATGACTTGACCACTGAAGCTGCCTTAGCAAATGCCAATGAAGATGATGATGAAGACGAGGATGCGGAACCAATTACCGCACAAAAGGTAAGCCCACTACCTTGCATATAAACTTTGCCGTCACTTGTTGCATTTACGCGCAGGTACTGGAAATACTCGAAACAGCTTGGACAAATGAAATGTGTGCCCCGGAATTGCTGCAACATCAGACGGACATGCTGGAGCTGATGCTCTCGCAGGTGGCACACATGGAAGAGCAAATGAAGGATCTGGACAAGAATGATTTTCGCTTTGTGGTGCATCAAATGGAACTGGAGCGCATACGGTATATCATGGCTAGCTATTTACGATGTCGCTTGCAAAAAATCGAGGCCTTTACCCAGCACATTATCAACCAGGATGAAACACGTGATGCGGCTGACAAACGTCTATCATCAGAGGAGGCTAAATATGCTCAGGATTTCGCCACGCATGTGGACGAATACTTCACCAAGGTGGCCACACGGTATATGCCCAACCAGCAGCGAGGCGAGGCCGATCAACGAATTGTCGCTCCAAATCTCATGAGCCATGTTTTTCTCAAAGCAAACGTGGCAGGTGCGTTAAGCATATACAAAATATATAATTTATATTTTAATTATAACAAATTTATTTGCTTTTAGTGTCTGGCGTTATAGTGGGCGTTGATGACGAGGAAGTGGATCTTACGCCAGGCTCACAACATATTATACCGTATCAACTGGTGGCTGACTTAGTACAAAAAAACCAAGCGCAACTTATTTAAATTTTTTTTATATAAATTAAATACTAAATTTTATTTGAAATGTATTTAAAATTGATACACATTTTCTCGCGCTCAATTCGCAGCCAGTGTTGTTATACGCGCATTGTTGCTGCTTCATCGGTAACAGCTGGCGGCTTAGTGGTGACGTCACAACATAAGTTTCCATTGGAATTTCTTAGGTATACACGCCACGATTCGTCTCAGTTGTCAATGTGGCGCGCTTTTACGCGTATATCAAAAACACTTGAGTCCCTTGGTCAAGGAGGCGCAGTGCTACCTCAGCAATTCCAACATTCCCAGCTGTACAACAACATACACAAAACTAATTACCTCCGCTTACACAACCAAGCGTTGCTCACAAGCCTAACACACAGAATGTCCACTGTGAAGCCAAAGGTTGTTTTCGTATTGGGTGGCCCCGGTGCTGGCAAGGGCACGCAATGCTCGAAAATCGTTGAACGTTTTCAGTTTACGCATTTGTCGGCTGGCGATTTATTGCGGGAGGAGCGTGCACGCGAAGGCTCCGAGTATGGCCAGCTAATTGAGGATTACATACGTAATGGCAAAATTGTGCCCGTTGAGGTCACGTGTTCGCTGCTGGAAAATGCGATAAAAAACTCGGGCAAATCACGGTTTCTCATCGATGGTTTCCCACGCAACCAGGATAATTTGGACGGTTGGAATCGTCAAATGTCCGATAAGACGGACTTGCAGTTTGTGCTGTTCTTTGACTGCGCCGAGGATGTGTGTGTTCTGCGTTGTCTGAGCCGCGGTCAGAGCGGCTCCGGTCGTACCGACGACAACATGGACAGTCTGAAGAAGCGCATTCAAACTTATAACAACGACTCGTTACCCATCATTAAATACTTCGAGAGTGCCGGCCAGGTGAAGACCATTGATGCCAGTGCCGATGCGGACAAGGTGTTCCAGGATGTAGAGCGAGTGTTTGTGGCCAACGGCTTCCAATGAAATTTCCCACTTACTTAGTTCGCGTTCTAGATTCAATTATGTGTGTTTCCTTTTGTGTGTCTAATCTTAATTTTATCTCCCCCCTTACTTAAATATATATTTACGCTTGTTATCATAAAGTTTACACAGTTGCGATACGATTTTTGCGTGAGGGAATATGGGCATATTAAAGATAATAACATTTTGTTACTTAAAAACAACAGCGGGCTAGTATATAAAACGGCAGGTGATAGCGGTGCTTAACTAGTCCTTGCGCAGCTTGTCCAGGCGTGCCTGCAAATCGGCGTCCGCATCGGACATGGGTGTAGAACCACCGCTGCCGCCAGTCGCAGCAGCATTTGCACCGGCACCAGCAGTAGCAGGTCCGCCGCCAGCACCACCTGCAGCGACAGCCGAAGCTGCTTTCTGCGCACCAGCACCACCTGCTATCGACAGGGAGCCGGAGGCAGTAGGTAGATCGCCCAATTGTTCGCCTAGCTGCAGGCCTAGTTCGTCTAGCACTTGAGAGACAACGGCATCGGTCTCTTCCTCATCGCCCTCATCCTCCATGGCATCATCAATGGCGTCGTTGATCATCTCCTCCTTCATGTCCATCATCTCCGACTGCTTCTCGAAGTCCTGAAGTATCTTTTGTATTTGCGGGAGATTCAGTTGTCGATTCATATTCTGCATGGCCTTGGTGACACCTATAAAGATACCGACGCATGAGTAAAATGTGAATCACCCATGAGCAACCCCTCACACACCTTTCATTGCTTGGGCCATTGTGTTTTGAGATTTGAGCGTTTGTATTTTTAGCGAGACCGCTTGAATGTTTGCCTTCATGAGCATAAACTTCTTGGAATATCGACGCGTGCGCACTAAATCCTTGGCCATGATCTTGACCGCATCCATTTGACCCTCTTTGGCCATTTTCTTGATGTCGGCAATGATTTTCTTCTCTTGTTGATCCATTTTCATCCGTTCTCGGTCCAAATCACGCATTGCCTTATTCAAGGCACGCTGATTCTTACGCAGCATCTCATCCGGTGAGATCTTTTTGCCAAAAAGCCAATCCATTTTACGAAATTAATAACTATTTACAACTTAAGAACTGTGTAGAAATAAAAGTCTTGTGAATTACTCATCAAAACAATTGTGATGTAGCGTTGCCACAAAGTTTTTTAACAGACTTTCTTGTAGATTTAACAGAAAACTCCCACAGTTAACAGCGTGGTAAGCAATGAATAATTTCTGTCAACAAAATAACACAGTCTCATTGATTATTATTAATTTTTAATAGGCTTTGAAAACTCAAATAAAATACATAGTTTGCAAGTAAAATCTTGGTGCATTAAAAAAATGTGATATTGTTTATTTTTCTTATTGTTTGCAATTTGCAAAGCAGGTTAACACCATACTACGCATTACACCACACTACGTAATGAATGTTATGTTTACGTTGACGTTTTTCGCTTACGTTAACGTATTCATAGTTCTGCCCACAACAACAGACGCTGAATCTTCCGTGTCTTGTGTTTAATTTTTTGCTGGACAATGAAGGAGTTCGATGATATTAATTTTAGCGTGGATAAATGTAGGTGTTGCTGTTTTATAGCCTGACTTGCCTTAAGCTTTTTCTTTTCTCTTACTAAGACACCAAGGAGCTGACACGGGAATGTGTGGGCGGCAGCGATTTGCAGCAGCGTAAAAAGGAAATTGAGGCCTACAATGAGCAGACGTCGGCAACGCTCAAGCAAACATGCAAAAAGAACTATATGCAGTTCATACAAACGGCCAAGGAGATATCACGTAAAAAAAAACAGTTTCCATCTTGACAGAGCTAATGTCAAACATTCACAGATCTCGAGTCGGAGATGTATCAGCTGTCGCATATACTCATCGAGCAACGCAACATTTTGGCCAGCATGACCGATGGCAAGACGAGCAGTCACCTTAAAGCGGACAGTATCGAGGCGGAGAACAGTGCAGCCACTGGGGACGTGGAGAACAGTCATGCCACACGCGCTGTTAAGGAAATGGTGCAGGGTTTTAATGGAAATCTCGAGGGCAAAACGTTCCTAAACGAGGGCGCACTCATCGAACTGGATGGTAATGACTACCGGCCCATACAGCGTGTCTTCTTCTTCCTGTTCAATGATGTGCTCATCGTGTGCAAAGTGAAGCATGACAAGTATGTCAGCTTAATATATAATCCTCAACACTTCTCATATAATATTTATAACATCTTTTTCGCAGACGCCTCGAGTTTCTTACGGAATACGATCCCAAGAAGATAGGCGTCATTAATATCAAGGATCTGGATGGCGTCAAGAATGCCATTAACATCATAACGCCTGATGGCTCCAAGATATATCAGAGCATTACAGCTGCCGGCAAGAGCGAATGGATTGAGAAATTGGA